CCCAATACTACGCTATCCACTTTGTTCCTCAAATTGTAGCTTTCACCAGTGGGAGCTCTTTCAGGCTTGCTCCTGTGTTCCTTTGATGTGTCAACTGATTTTTGCTTTATGAGCACTTCTTTTGCATATTTATTTTTAATATAAAAAAACAACACATTAAGGAAACAAAAGAAAACTAAATTACTCTTATAGTCCCATCATCCCAACACAACTGGTGTTTTAGTGATCTGTTTGTCATTTACATTTTTGAAACATAGCTTATAAAGAACATGTTCTATTACTTCACCTGATTTCATAAACATAACTGCCATTTTTTACAATTATGTTGTGTTTACCAGATGCATATGCCAGGACACCTTAAGAAAAGCTCTCTGGAGTCCGACTATGTGCCCCCCGCGCCCCCGCACCACTGAATCTTTGCTCCTCAATCCTCTCGTTCAGAAAAGGGAGGAAATGATGGTATGTTTTTCACAGAATTTAACACAGCAGCATAGAGTAGATTAACAGCAAGGACTCTGGAAATAGATGGCCTGAGTATAAATCCTGACCCTGGAAGGATTTAGTTAGGAAACCCTGGGCAAGTTACTTAACATCTCTGTGCCACAGTTTCACCTGTAAAATGGGAAAACAAAAGGCCTTGCTTCTCACTATTGTTGGAGGACCAAATGCATTCAGTGGTGCTCAGCGCTTATTCCATAGCAAATGCTCAGTGTCGGCTATTATTGTTGACTCTGGGCAGACCTCCATGGCAGGGCTTACAACCTAAATTTAATTATACAATCTACTCCCCCGCCCCCCCCCCCATCTCAGTGCCTCACATACAAGAGAGGTGCAACATTTTTTTTCTAATTAATTAATTTTTTTTGGCTGTGTTGGGTTTTCGTTGCTGCGCGCAGGCTTTCTCTAGTTGCAGCGAGCAGGGGCTACTCTTCGCGCTGCGGTGCGCGGACTTCTCATTGCAGTGGCTTCTCTTGTTGTGGAGCACGGGCTCTAGGCATGCGGGCTTCAGTAGTTGTGGGTCGCGCGCTCTAGAGCGCAAGCTCAGTAGTTGTGGTGCACGGGCTTAGTTGCTCCGAGGCATGTGGGATCTTCCCAGACCAGGGCTCAAACCCGTGTCCCCTGCATTGGCAGGCGGATTCTTAACCACTGTGCCACCAGGGAAGCCTCGAGGTGCAACATTTATTAACACCCATGTGTGCACACATTCACAGTGTCTGTTTATCAGCAAAATGCAGCTAATAACACTTCTTACTACTAAGGTGGCAAATAAATGACTATACGCATATAAACAAGATCGGAATTACATCTTTGAATTTATCCATATGTCATCTAGTATTTAGTTTCTCTTTCCTCACCTTTATCAAAGTGTAACTGACAAGTTAAAATTATATACATTTAAGGGGTACAACATGATGGTTTGATGTGTATTTAACCTTCCATAGTGTGAGAACTTACAGGAACTTATAAAGAATGAAACCATGACATTTAATCATAACAGAAACATTATACTACGCCTTCGAATCTAAACCAAAAACGTATATCCCAGGATTGGTTCTTTGCGGGTATTTTTTATTAAAGATAAAGACTTTCAGTCTGATCTTTCGGCAATTTTCATTTTTTCTTCATGCTTTCATTCTTTTTTTTTTTTTAGAGACCAAATCACTAACCCATGTCCACCCTCCCTGCTGCCTGTGGGTCTTACAGGTTCTCATACTCCCCACTTCTTAGTGTCCAGTTTGCAGTAGTGATTAAGATGTAGTCCACACTAACGCATACTAATAGTTCATTTATTAAATGTTGTTAACAATCTGCCCTGCTTCCCTTGTGAGGCTGGGTCCAGACACCTTAGGATTGCTTCTCTTTCTTAGCAATGGAAAGAACATTGACCTTGCAGTAAGGCAGATGACAGAATTCTGAAACTAGCTGTTTTCTTTTTTTTTTTTTTTTTTTTTTTTGCGGTACGCAGGCCTCTCACTGTTGTGGCCTCTCCAGTTGCGGAGCACAGGCTCCGGACGCGCAAGCCCAGCGGCTATGGCTCACGGGCCCAGCCGCTCCGCGGCATGTGGGATCCTCCCGGATCGGGGCACAAACCCGTGTCCCCTGCATCGGCAGGCGGACTCTCAACCACTGCGCCACCAGGGAAGCCCTAGCTGTTTTCTTATATTGCAGGATTTTTAAGAGGATTAAGTGAGGAAGTACATGGAACATTTAGTCCAGTCTGCCGTGCAGAGGTATGCAATGTTCCTGTCTTTCTTTTCACCCTCCAGATTCAACGCCCTGATGCCTTTGAACCTTCTACTTGCACTAATTTACACAGTCTCATTTCATTCTATTGTACTTCAGGAGAAGGTCCTGCCAGCACTCTCACTTAGAAAACTACTCCCTACCCACCTGGGCTCCAGGAGGAAAGTGTCCAAGGGACTAAGACTGTGCAATTCAGTGGTTTTCAGATTCATGCTTTTGGAACCCTTTGTTCAAGTGAAATCTCCCTTGGAAACTCGATACAAACAAACTGGGTAAAAAGGTCATTTTATTCACGCTTCTTTATTTTATAAGTTCACATCTATAATTTTGTAACCTATTAAAATGATATTCAGAACTAGATGCTTTGAGACACACATCAGAAATCTGGGTTAGAGGTAGAAGCTGCAAACTGACCAACTGCAGCATTTAATTCTGCCTCTTGTTTTGATGGCATAGAATCAATAAAATTCCGATTCACACAGAAAATGACCTCTTAACCACTGCTCACGATCTTCATGATTAATGTAGGGCCGTACACAGCCCAAAACTATCTATGACACATTATCACATCTGACAGCTACACTTGCACCTATTATCATACAAGCTGACATCTGAACGAGATCGGATCACCATGTGCACCTGAGCCTTGGCTGTCCTCTCAGAGTATCACATGTGCGTAGTGATGAGACTTTTTGTACAAATGTGTGTGATAAAAAAATTCACAGGGTGAATTTAAATATATAAATACCAGTGCAGAACTACATCCTTCTAGTCAATGACACATTTAGGAGACATTAAATGGGCACAGAAATGACAAAGGATTATACTGAGAACTGCACAAAAATGAGTTACTTGGCAACACAAGACAGGGATTGGTTAATGTCTGTCACTGAGCATACAGACTGTTCTACCTTATGCTCTGCTCACTGCCAGAGAGCCCTTCCTGATTTCCCAAGATCCAGGTGAAATGCCCCTCTAATCCTGCCTGGAGGAGGGCCGCCTCCTCCTCAGCTGCCTCTTCATCCTTTATTAGTGTCAGTAACTGCAATAAGCCAGGGGCTGAGCCATCCTCTGACAGAGCAAACTTCCTGCGCGGTGTGCTCCAGCAATGGCTTGCTCCAGGTGGGCCTGATTCACAACTTCTTGCTCAACTGCTCCTCTCTCTACCAGTTTCTGTAGTGAAGGCTCCATCCTTAGTACATACGCAGACAATTTTTTTTCATCCTTCTGTTAAGTGGTCAGATATTTGACCTGCAACACCCTAGGATTATCGGTAACCCCAAATACCTGCTCCAGAGCATGCAGGCATTCAGGGACTGTAACTAAAGGACTGTTTATCTTGAGGACGCGAATGATATCAGATGCCGGGCCTCTACGGTTCTCTAGCAATCGCCTTCTTTTTTTCGGCATCTGACACCTGCCATGTCTTCATCATTTGAGTGGCATGAAACAGCCAGGATTCAAACTCTTCTTCTTCTGGCTCTGGAGGATCACTGCCTGAGAATACTCTCAGCTTTTTGTATTCCAGGTGTTGCAGGGCAGGCTGAAGAGCCTCATCTAATGCCTGTGCCAACATAGGGGCCCGCACTTCTGGGATCATGTCCTGGTCTAGGTCAAAAAGGTCGTTTCCATACCCAAGAACTCTGGTAAACTCACCCAATGTCACGCCCTCTCCCTCTAGGAATTCATGTAACCTGCTTAAAAATTCATTGTCTGGGTCAGGGGTCTTAAAGATCACTCTCCAGGCACCCCCGCTTCCGGGTATCTCTTTAGGGACCAGAGCATGACTCGTCTCCTCAGTTAAGTCCTATTAAGGTTGCATTCCTGTTCTCTTCCCTCCGGAACATCCTCCCGAGCAGTCGGTACTCGCTCAAGGGAGCAAAACCAGATCGCAGAGCCTCCTCAATTTCTGCCCTTTACAGGTCTGGGGGATGTCGGCAATCAACAGCGTTTTCCGCGGGTTTACATCCATCCCCCTACACCAGTCTTCTAAGAGGCTTAGTGTCATGATGCCCAAAATAACACATTTAAATTCCAATTTGTCCCGGCCACTGATGCTACTGCAATTCACAGTATTCCTCCACGGTAACCGAGTTAAGTCTCGTCAACGTCTGCAGTTCCGACGGGCAGTGAAGATGAAGTAGTCACGTTAGTTCAAGTTGTAAATGAATAACCCGAGCCCGGAGAAGCCCCGCGCACCCGCGCCGGCGGCCGGCCGCACTGCGGCAAGCAGCCACCTTACCCTCTCCCGGCCTCGGGCGCCCCGCAGCAGACAGCGGGGTCCCACTTCACCTCGCAGTTATCTAGTAGTCATGTCTGGGTCCGTCGCCGGTGGTCGAGGCACCAGGGCCTGCTTCCGACGCTTCCCGGGCGGCCAGGTCCGAGGAGCGGGAGAGCGGCTTCTCCCGCACTCGGATGGACAATCGAGAGGGGTATCCGAACTGCGCAGAGGCGCGCCGGGGAATGGCTGACCGCCAGTTGCTGCGGTGCTCTCCGCGGCGAGGAACGACGGGGGCGATCAGAGCCACGAGCGAAGCACCAGGGAGAGGCTTTGAGGAGCGCTGAAGCGGCCAGGCCCAGACTGCCGCCCACCTGAAGGGTAGAGCTACAACCGGCGCCTCCGTATCTCCCCCGAGTCCCAGCAGAGCTGTTCCGGGAGCGCTCGGGGAGGCGGTGCCACGGCGGAGGCTCCCTAACGTCACGAGGGGGCGGGCCTTTCGGGGGGCGGGGCAAGCGCGCTTCCGGGCCGAGCCGGAAGCCCCGGCTGTGGCAGCATCCGGGACGGCGGGCGGGCGGGCCAACCGGGACAGGAGGTGAGATCCGGGACCTGCCCAGCTCTGCAGGCTCGGCCTGTGGCCGTTGCCGGGCACTGGGCTCCCGGCGCTGCAAGGCGGAGAGGCCCGGGTCTGGCGCCGCCCGCGCAGCCGGGTCGCAGCGGCGGGCGCTGCAGCACGACAGGGGGCGGGGCCGGCTGCAGGGGAGGCCAGGGTGGCTGGGGAGTCTCCCGGCTGGGCCGAGTGACACAGGCTGGGGCTCCGGCAGCGGCGACAGGGGCCGGGCCGCCGCGTGACCGGCTGCAGTCACGCTGTGCTTAATCACAATTAGCTTTTGCTCCAGGCTGGCCGTGCGCACCATTCTCCCAGCCGGTGACCCCGGGGATTTCTTTTATGGTGGCTTTCTCTGAAATGCCAAAGCCACCCGATTATTCAGAGCTGAGTGACTCTTTAACGCTTGCCGTGGGAACAGGAAGATTTTCGGGACCACTGTAAGTGTTTAAGAGTTGCTGTCTTAACTTGGGGGCTCCGATATTGGTTTGACTTGTAGAACCAAGTTTTCATGTCTGAAGCAATACCGTTAATTCAGAAAGTATTTGAAGTATAGAAGTGAAATGCTCCCTAGGGAACTAGTTTAATGACAATTTAAGGGAACGTGTGCTGGACCTATTTAAGCCAGATTTAGTGATTTATTTATCTGTGGGATTCAGTAAAAAGCACACTTTATATATACTGAAACTTTACTTCCGCATAACTATTACATAAAACAACCTGTAAGATGTTTATACTTAATAGATGTAAATTTAATTTAGTTATTTTAAACCTCAAATGTGTTAGGGAGTATTTTAGAGCTCATTGGACAAAAAGTAAGTATATTTGGAATAGCTGACATGACAGCATTACTAGACTCTCACTGTGTTCTTATTGTTGTTTTAACTCAAAAGGCACAGAGCATGGAGAATGATGAACTTCCGTCAGCGTATGGGATGGATTGGAGTGGGATTGTATCTGTTAGCAAGTGCAGCAGCATTTTACTATGTTTTTGAAATCAACGAGACTTACAATAGGCTGGCCTTGGAACACATTCAGCAGCACCCAGAGGAGCCCCTTGAAGGAACCACATGGACACACTCCTTGAAAGCTCGGTTACTCTCCCTGCCTTTCTGGTTTTGGACAGTTATTTTTCTGATACCTTACTTGCAGATGTTTTTGTTCCTTTATTCTTGTACAAGAGCTGACCCCAAAACGATGGGCTACTGTATTATTCCCATATGCTTGGCAGTTATATGCAATCGCCACCAGGCATTTGTCAAGGCTTCTAATCAGATCAGCAGACTACAACTGATTGATACATAAAATCAGTCACTATTTTTTCCTTACAAGTACAAAACTGCCAGTACTGTATGAAGCCTGATCACAAGACTGCAGTTTCTTCACAGATCTCAGGAAGCTGTGGTGGGGCAGAGGCTTTTTAAAGAATGTGACTAGGGGACTATCTTTATCTGAATATTGAATTTTTAGGTAAAGCCTGTGATACAGTACTACAAAATCATGTTGATGACTTCAGATTTTGGAAGTAAAATTTTATCTGTTATTTGAATTCTTTAGAAACTTGAATAAGTACCTGGATTCATATTTTTATTCTACTGTGCAACATAGTGATGATTCAGAAATTTTTCCTTTGGGGAAAAAATGAACATTTCCATTGTGTTTAATGTAAAAAGGTCCAAACATGGTCATAAAATTTAAATTTTATACAATTACTTGGCTTGCTTTAAAATTCTTCAGACTAAAACACCAATTTATCCTGTTGTAGCTAAGCCAGCTATTTATACTTGCTTGCTATCAGCTTGTGAGAAATTGGTATAAAATTATTGAGGTGATGGCTGTCTTGAGAAGCAAAATGCGTTCTTCGTTTTGGTAATGCTACTGGCATTATTAATTAGCTAGAATTATTCATGCAACTTTTTTTTTAAACACTTGGGAAGAGACTAAGTGTTTGAAAGTTGAGAAATCTAACACATAGAAGATAAAAACAAGGTGTTCAGTGAAAATACTTGACAGTCCCTGTTAGATGTGTGACATCTAAAAGATGCTCTCAAGTCATCGTCCTGATTTTCTTTTCTGCCTAGGGTCCAGTCTTCAGACGTTAGGTTCATTGCATGAAGATGTGATCCCTGTACTGCCTCCTTTGCATCTGTACTTACTACCTCATGTCTGGTAACAATACAAGTAACTAAAACATGGAAAATTAGAAACTAGGATTATTTTTCTTCTTTTCTGGGTGAGATCAAGATATATTTTTATACAGTTAATGTCATCAATACCAGGGAAATGTTTACACTGACCGATTTGAATAAGAATCATAACATTTTTTGGTGCTTACTCCGTTGGGCCCTGTCCTAAGAGCTTTACATGAATTAACTCATTTAGTCCTCCCAACAACCCTATGAGATAACAGCTATTATTATCCAGATTTTACAGATAAGGACCGTGAGGTGGAGAAGTTAAGTAACTTGCCAAAGGTTACACAGCCAAGAAGCAGAGGCAGAGTTCTAACCTGGCATCTGATGCCTTTATTCCTAATCACTGAACTGTAGTGCTTCTCACAAATGACAAATGTTTCAGCACTGGGTACTGTCTGCCTAACCATGCTAAAGATTGGAAAAGAACTGAGAAAGGTTTTTCTCAATTTGTGTGAGCTACTGAAAATCTAAAAGTTTTCAAGCAAGCTCAACCTTTACCTTATATCAGGTTTGACCAGAATGGAAGGCTGAGCATTCCATAGCAAGCTTTTACTTGAAAGATAAAGCAGGTACTCTTATAACTCAAAAGCAGCACGATCAGATTCTTCTGTTCTTCTCCAATTAATCTCATTTCTCTCCTTTACTACTTCCAAAGGTCTAGTTACTGAAATGATATATTTTTTGCTACAATACATTGAATCTTCAAATTAAGCAGCAGTTTGAAATATATGTTTCTGCAAGGGTCAGATAACCAAATCACTTGTATCTTTTGAATACTTACTAAAAATATGCATGCTGCAGGCAGTTTCCTGAATGATACACATTCATGCTGCACAAGAGTCCTATGAGGCAGCTATGTATTGGTACTAGTACCATTTTACAGAAGAGGAAAATGAGGAAACCTGAAGCACATACCAATTAATAACTTGCTCATGGTCACACAGCAAGTGGAAGAGCTAGGATTTGAACCCAGGATAGCTGGTTTCAGATCTCCAGCTCTATCATTCCACTATACTGCTTATCAAAGAAGAGATTAAGGAAAGTCATTGAGCAGTTTCTTGTTTTGTCTTGAGGCAGTGATAGTTTGGAAATGATTTAAGGAAATTATTTCCATTACTTTTTGTTTTATAAATGCTTGATGTAATGCAGGGTTTGTGAGTTTGCTATTTGTCTTGTAAGGTAGTAATTCCTTTTTATTGAAGTAGACTTTCTTACACTTAAGATTCTAGTATTTTGGGATTTGGTGAGCAAATGCTCAGTCCATCTCTTTCTTTCAAGATATTGCCTTGATAGTAGAAATATTAAAATAATTAGAGTAGGAGTAATGTATTTCCAAATGCAATCACAAAGGTTTAGACTGCAGGGTTAATCTGTTTTTTGATTATTTAGGAATTAATTATCCAAGTTTTAGATTATTCCTATTTTCTCAATGGCTATTTAATAGTTCAAAGCACTCTTTTGGTAAAGAGAGAAAGGTGAAATTAGTCCTTAGCCCTATTAGATTGAGGTGGAGGTTGAAACCAATGGATAGGAGACCTGTGTATTGTAACAGATCACTTATTTCATAGTCACATCACAATACAAAAAGCTGTGAATACAGGATTAGATAATGAGATAAATGGCAAATGTAAAAAGTGCTTCAGGGATTTTAGGGAAGGGACACATCCTAGTATCTATAGCTATTCAGTGATATTTGCTTCCAGATTGAGAAAAACAGTTACAGCTCCTAGTGGGTGTTTTTTTTTTTTTAATATTTATTTATTTTATTTGGCTGCGTCGGGTCTTAGTTGCGGCATGCGGGCTCTTTGATGTGGCACTGGGCTTCTAATTGTGGTACATGGGCTCTAGAGCGAGCGGGCTTAGTTGCCCTGCGGCATATGGGATCTTAGTTCCCCAACCAGGGATCAAACATGTGCCCCCTGCAGTGGCGGGGCGCGGAGTCCTAACCACTGGACCGCCAGGGAATTCCCAAATTTTCTGGTTTTAAAGAGGTTACCAGTTTCAAAGTAAAAAATGTGATTCCCCAAGTTTAGAATTTGATTCTACTTCAAACAAAGCTTTTATAATTAACAAGCTTTTCTTTGCAGAAGTGGAATCATCAGGTAAAGTGCTACGAGAGTAACAGCACCCATAAAATAATCAAACTTGTATGTTTGTTCACCATGGGTAGTGTTAAAGTCTGTGTTAAGATTATCTGGTGTTGATTTCCTTCTTGATGGATTTAATGTTCTCAATCTCCAAATCACTGGCAGAAAAGCTTACCGCAGTACTACATGACTCATTTTTGCATCAAGTATGTGCCATCACTTTATAAATTCTCCAATATATTGATAAAGTTCCATATAACTCTGGACCATGGTTGGGAATCATTATGCATTGGTATTTTTGTTTTGGTCTAAGGCAGTGAGTGGGTCTTGAACTGTGGCTGAATGTTAGAATCACTCAAGGAAATAAAAAACAAAGCAAAACTCCTCATAAACAATGCCAGGGTCCCTCCCAACTATCAATACCTGCGGGGAGGGGCCAAGGCAATCCTGTTTTAGGAGGTCTTCAAGCAAGTCTATTAAGGTTGAGAGTTACTGCGCCGGGGGTTTTCACGCAACATAAAGCTTCAGCTGTTACTCGTGAGAACTGTGTTTGTCTTTGGAACAGTGTCAACAATTATTTCATGGTAGGCTTACCCCAGCTGTCTGAATTGTGCAAATCTTTAAAAAGGTGTCTATATATTCTTTCTTTTCTTTTTTTCCAAGGTTTAAATAGACTTCATTGTTAAGCAGACTTATAAACTAATGTATGTGGTCCCAGGATGTCAAGCATGGAGAAAGAGAGGTCATGAAGATCAGCTGCAGAAGGTCACTAACTGAAGGCCATGATCTAGGGGAGGCCAGCCAGGAATGCAGTAGACATGATCAGGACAGGCTAGGGGTGGTCACGTCACAGAGAAGGGAAAGGACAGCCCTCTTTACTCCTGCTTCTTGTAGCTCTCCAGGTATGACAAGACCCTGCCCCAGGCAGGAGGAAACAGGAAGTAGGAGGTGAGCCCAACGGCAACATCCATGGTCCTGAGCTGCTCCCATGGTGGCTTGGAATGCATCTGGGCATGCAGCACCGGGAGCTGCAGGCCGGCCTGTCAGGCCCCTCAGCAGCAGTGGCGGCAGAGTAGATATGACCATACCAGGTAGACTGCAGACAGCTGCCAGCCAGAGCCCAAGGTCGGGAATGAGATGTCTATATTTTGTGATTCTGATTCCTATCGTCCAATTTATCCTGAATACACTTCTGTCAGGCTTTTGCCTCCCACTCTACCAAAGCTGCTCTCTTGTCAAGAGGTTGCCAGTCATTTACATGTAACAACCCAATGGTCAAGTCTCAGTCCTCAAATTACTTTTTTTTTTTTTGGCTGTGTCGTGCCTTGTGGGATCTTGGTTCCCTGACCAGGGATTGAACCTGGGCTCTTGGCAGTGAAAGCATGGAGTCCTAACTACTGGACTGCCAGGGAATTCCCCCTCATTATTATTATTTTTAATGGATTTAAAAAAAACACTATTTATTTTGGTTGCGCCGGGTCTTAGTTGCAGCAGGGGGACTCTTAATTGCAGCATGCATGTGGGATCTAGTTCCCCCACCAGGGATCGAACCTGGGCCCCCTTCATTGGGAGCACAGAGTCTTACCACTGGACCACCAGAGAAGTCCCTCAAATTACTTTTTGACACATTCCCTTGTCCTTGAGCTATTTTCTTCAGCTGGCTTCTGGATCAGTACTGCCCAATAGAATTTTAGTGATGTTGGAAATGTTCTGTATCTGTGCTGTCCCTATAATAGCCAGGAGCCACATGAAATGAGCCCTTGAGATGTGGCCAGTGCGGCTGAGGAACTGAATTTTAAATTTTAATGAAACAGTCACATGTGGCTAGTAGCTACCATGTATTAGTCCAATTCTAGATACTTTTCTGATTTGCTTCCTTCCTCACCAGCTTCTCCTATCCCCTTTCCTCTTTGAGGATCTGCCCAATTTCCAAGTGCTGGCATGCCTCAGTTCTCTCTTCTACACTTAATCCCTTGTCATTGCATCCAGGCTCATGGCTTTAAAACCCAAATTTCTATCACTTCCTTGATCTCGCTCCTGAGCTCCAGACTTGAATATCTAACTGCCTACTTGATATTTACTAAGATATCTTACCAGGCACCTGAAACTTAACCTGTCTATAAAGATAAGCTGCTGATCTCTCCACCCACCAAAATCTGCTCAAGTCCCCTAAAAGTCTACTATCAAACAAGAGGCGAGGGATCATTTTAAAAGTTATTCCTCTCAAAAATCCTTCTATAGCTCCCCTTCTCAGAATAAAAGCCAAAGTCCTTAACATGGCACACAAAGTTCTAAGTAAGTGGCCCTCGACTTTGACTTCATTTTCTACAACCCCCTCCACCCCTTGCCCCACTCCAGCCACACTGGTCTTCTTGCTGATTCTAGAACATGCCAGAAAAACATGTTTCAGGGCTTCTGGGCTCAGTGTAC